TCCTTGAGAGCATGGGAACTTTTGGAAAGCAGGCTCCTAGGGAATACAGTGGCTGAGCCAACCCTGGTAACAGTTGCTTGTTTTTCTTTTTTTATTGGTTGACATGCCTCATAACACCTATGAATTAAATACAACTGTGTGGATAATCGGGTGTGATCAAATAGTTCCTTTTTAAAAAAAAACACACACACACAAGTGGACACTCTGTACACATCCAGTCCCAAAGTGTGCAGTGTGCTGTACACAGCACAGTAAGTTACCTGAAGTAAGGTGGTGTTGCTTTTCAGGTCCTGCGAGTGGTTCTTTCTGTGTGCAAGTTTAATGTTTTTTTGTGCTTCAAGAGAAAGAACAGAACAGTGAGTTACTGCTAGTAAAGCTTATGAGTACTCAATAATTGAAAGGTGTTTCTAACACACAATTTTGCTGTGATTTTTGTCAAGGAATGGTTGGTGAAAATAGATCGCTCCAACAGTGTGGATCCAGACTGTTTGCTTGTGACAGGGTAAACACAACAAGTCTGACACTTTGAAAATACATCCTTGTGCTTGTTTTCAGAAGAAATTGAAAGCTGTACCCTAGAGCTGTGAAAAGATAAGGGAGACTGGTAGTCACATGGATGTGAGCTTCCACTGTGATTCTGTGCCTAAAAGCAAATGTGAGTTGGATTTATGTGTGTTTGCAGTGACTCCTGCAGTTCTACATCTAGCTCTCCAGAGGCACATGGAACGTAGGAGGGGCTTCAGAAGGAGCCATGACAATAAATCTGAAAAAAACCTTTTTGCTAATGGACTTGAGAAGCTTAATCCCTACCCCAGAAGGTATGGGGTAACTTGCTCAGAATCCAAAAATAATGTATAAAGTGAAGATAAGATTAACCAACAGACCACTAGAAGGACTATCCATAGCTAGGATGGATTTTTTCCTTCAGGGGTGACTTTTAATTTAAGAAGGTAAATATTTTTTTCTTTTTTTACTTTCCCAAAGGGAAATCTGGTCATCGCAGCTCTAGTTTTAAAGGAGGAGCTAAACTGTGAGATAGCTGTGGCTTGTGCCTTATAGATTTAGATTGAATGGTCACGATGAACTTTTCTGGAGTAAAGAAATGGCTGCAGTGAGACCAACATTTCTCTAATGGAAAGGCTTGTCAGACTTGGCACATTTTACAGGTAGCCTCAGCAGAGAGACCGCCCTCTCACTGTGCCATGGGAGTTGTTCTCGTGCTTATAGGTAAATCCGCCTGGATCTGTTTTGGAGTATGTGAACAATTAAGTTTGCCTGCCTTGTACTGCTAAATGAGGCTTTTGTTCAGGGCTGTTGGTTTAGCTCTCTCCTAGCCTAGTGAGGCTTTAGACACACTGAAAATGAAATGTTGGTATGTTTTGTTTGGTTTTATTTTTTTTATTTCCCTCTTATCTGATAACTTTCAAGAATATGTGTAGTTTGAAGTAGTCCTTTTGTATAAAATCAAACATCTCTCTGCCTGTGTGTTCTTCTGGAGGCTGTTTTCTTTTTCTTTCTCCAGATGTTAAGAAGGATTTTTAGATTAATTTGAAAGGGATGTGGGGGGGAAACAATGCATTCTTCTGTAGAAATGCAATTATTTTTGCCAGGGTACTTAATGTTTGTTTTAATGTGCTAATGTAGGAATAAAAAGTACTTTCATCCTAACCTTACTAATATCTCCAAACTTGTTTTTGACCATGTCTAGAAACTTTATAGGAAAGTACAGCTCAAGCTTTTCTGTCTTTGGGGAATAGCACATCAGGTGGTCTTTAAAGTGGTGTGTAGACATAGCAGCATGGATTTGCTTGCTTGCAGACACAGGAGCAAAGCCATGTGTCTCACTGGCCATATTTTAATGGTTAAGTGAGGCTTCTGAGCATAAAAGGGGAGTAGGTTGGGCAGCTTGCTTATAGGTTTATTTTATTCTGGGACCCCAAACTCTTGGTAGTAACTGACACCAAGACTGAAGCTCACTGGGAGGCATGTGTGCACCTCTTAAAATGAGGTGACATCAGAGTTGTATTACTCTAGTGGTGAGGTCAACTTAGCTGTGTTCTCAGCTGTTTGTATTTATAGCTGCATGTCAAAACTGTAGAATGCAAATTGTCAGGTAATGTGTGGTTTTTGTGGTGTCTCAAAACAAGGGGAAAACACTAACAAAGCAAATGCAAAATTATTACTGTCATCAGAAAATTTTAAAAAATGTGCACACTATTCTGCTGAGGCTGGTTGACTGTTTGCATGCTTAGTGATATGTGCAATGAAAGAATTTCCTAACGATTAGCATTTTTGCTGTACTCTTGGGAGAAGGTGTAGCTTAATTCTCCTCTGCAGTTTGCTACATGGCTCAAACTATTTGCAGTGTCTACACTTTGAAGATGTAAATGTGAAGGGAAGCTGTTTTTTAACAGGCTTCTATCATATAAGTAACTTGGCTTAGTCTTATTTAAGTTAACATTTTTTTCTGGAACATGACTTTATATAGTTGGACTCTGGTCCGTTTCTAAACAAGGTATGAGAATCACTTGGTTATGTGTCTTCAAGTAGTATCTGGTTCTTGCGTTAACTGTCTTCTGTAAAACTTTTTGGATGACACTGAAGAGGTTTTTCTGCCTATGCTATTTTACAGGTTTCAGGTCTATTTTGTGGCTTCAGATAAAGAATGCTAATATGTTATTGGCTGGACTTAATAATTTTCTTGGTGATTAAATATAGTATACCCATAAATGCCTAGATTATCCTTGGGCAAAGTGTTTGCCTAATGACTTAATTAAACTTAGAAACGTGCATGGGTTAAAAATGAGTTGCTGTTTTCATCTCTTAAATGCCATACTACAGCCTAATTTATGCCTTTCTTCTTTTAATATTTGATGGTAAGGTTTGTAACCCAGAGGTGGCAACCTGCCTCAAATACTGACATGTCTTGGATATTAGAATAGTGATTATGAGAGATGCTGTAATCATAGAAATGGCAATGTCTTATTTTATTAACTTTAAGGAAACTGATAGTGCCAATAGTGTTAAAATTGTCCCTGTTGTTTCCCAAGTCCATTGAGTGATCTCTTAATCACGAAGCCACGTATTGAGTCCATAATATTTGCAGGTCTAAGTAAGCTAGTTTTCATACAAAGTAAGGAAAAGATAAAGTTAAAAAGTTTCAGTGTGCTCACTTTTTTTCTGTTGATTAGATAAGGATTAGAGCAGGCTGTTCATAAATGTCCCAAGTGCTCAGCAGTAATCTGTAGTAGTAAGAGGATTTCTTATAGCCTGTTTGTCACTTGTGAACACTTTCATGCTTACTTCTCTCAGAAGGAGAGGGGTGGATGTATGATCTTTCTCCCTCACTGCCTTTTTGGATTGCAATGCTCAGAATATTAGTGGACAGCAAATATGTACTTGCCAGTGGTCAGAGATAAAGACTTTATTTTATTGAAGGTAATGTTAACACTTTTTTTTTTTTAAAGCTGAACTGAGTGAGGGTGACTTTGCCTTCTCCTGTATTATATGCACTTAAACACCTGACCTTGAAGTAGTAGTGTTCTTGTGGTCAAAGAGCTCGATTCTCAAGTATAGGTAGATGACAGACTATCATAGTATGTGTGTGTCAGGCAATGTTCAGGGAACTTTTAAACTATGAGAAGCAGGAATCTTTTCTGTGGAAGGTAGCAAAATGTGAGAATCTTGATGAGGTGGGGGCAGTAGTTGTACTAGCTTATTAAAAGACCCTCAAGCTGAAGATAAGTGTCTGTTTGTTCTGGGATTGTTTTGACAACAAGCACAGACATAATGAAAGGGTAGTGACCAACTAACATGCTGCAAGAGTGTGCTAAAACTGGGTGGTTTTTTTAGTAAACATGCTGCAAGGTCATGCAGTCAAAAGTGGTTCTTTTACCTTCTTTCTTCCCCCACCCTAGACGAAAATAGCCACTAACCTTATGGTAGAGATGGGTTTAATGGTGAATATCAAGTTTTGGAGTAGTACCAGGTGTTCAAGGAGAGAATAGCAGCCATGTGCTTAAGATCTTTAGAAAGATTAAAAAAACAAGTGTAAACCAGGTTTTTACAGTATATTTATACCTGGTTTTGATAACGCTTGAAAGTGACTTCTTACTGTCTTAGCTATAGTCCATCTGAGTAGTTGCCTTAGAGAGCATTTAGTTAGGACAGCCCCTAAAACAAGTGGCCAACATCTGTTAAGAAAAAAATATGGCCTTGTTAATACTGCAAAATGAAAAATAGGGCTTTTAAAGCAGAATCATTTCTGGAGAACATTCTGAAGCTCTTTATTTGAATGTGAGTGGGGGCATTTGTTTATAAGAATAAGGAGTTAGTCCATCAAGATTAATCTTCTTTGCTGTGCGTTTACCGCCCAGTTTGAATCTTAAATGACCCATAGACAGTCATCTCTTTGAATATGGGGTGAAATGCAGAACAGATCAGGAAATCAAGGGGTGATGGTGGTGCTGCTATTTGTGCTTACTGGAGGAAACTTTTGCCTCTATTCATACAGGTCTAACTATAGCAACTGGCAAGAAATTCACTGCATTGTAGTATTCCTGAAATGGTACACAAAGTAGAAATTGGTGTTCTAGGTTGTGTCCTTGTGTCCAGCTAGTGGCCTGCATGAGGGCTTGATCTGCTCTGTCACCACCTATGTTGTGACCTTGCTGCCTCTTTATTTAGTTTGTGCTAGTAGAAGACTTAGCCCTGTCCTTATGAGTAGAGCAGGTTGCCATCATACAACTGTAACGCCTTGTAATTGGCATCTGGCCTGATACAGGGAACAGTTTGGCCCATGCTATCCTAAATACTAGAAGCACACTCCTACATAAGCAAGCATAAAGTTACAGTGGTGATCACATTTAGATGCTACCTATTCTTTATTGCTCTTTTGATGTTCAATTGTTCTTCAAGATGTAATTACACATCCAGTATGAAGACAGTTGATGGCTGAAAATAAATGTGTTTGCTTAACCTTTTACCATTCTTTGTTGCAGCTCTCAAGTTCCACTTACAAATATAGGAGTGAGGAATTTAAGAGACAGTTTTCTCATCTGCCAGACTCGGAGAGACTTATAGTAGGTAAGATGTAATCACACCAAAAGTGCTTGTCTTCTGGCTGATAACTCCAGATTGCAGTAGTGCCAAGGTGTTTTTTTTATGGCAAATTCTAACTACAGCTGATAACTTCCTATTCTCCTGTCTCTGAACTAGCGTAATATACCTTCAGGTGAAAGTCAGGTCCATACTCTTCTCTTGTACTGCCTGCTTTGTGAGTAAAGATAGATTCCTTTTGGGGGTTGAGAAGTGAAGGAGAAGATACAGAATCCTCCAGTTCATCTAGATATGGAATGGGAGCCTCTTAACGTCTTTTCCTGCTGCTACCACATAGTGAGTTCTTAGGCAGAACCCTTCCTGACCTGCAGGGTCAGGCTGAGCACATAAGCTCAGCATATGTACATTGATGGGCAAGTGTGAGAAGAACAGAGGTAGAGTTAAATCCTGAGCACTGAATTTGTTTTATGTTCTTTGCAGCATGGACAACCAACTTGGTGTACCTCTTCCAGTGTCATAACCATTTATTTTCTATTCTGTGAGTTTCTGAGTCTTCTCTTCTACTTTAAAGAGGCAGCTAGTTATGACTGAGCTAGTTGCCATAGATGGTGGGGGAAGAGGGATTGATTCCATAATTGTAACAGTTTGGTGCTTGAATACAAAGGTAAGGGATGTTGCTTCAAGTGACCCTGTTAAGTAGGTAGATCATCCTTAGCAGAAGCTTTTCCTTGCTCCCTGGAACTAAGCCTAGACCTTGCCCTAGGCACGTTGATTAATGTGACTTCTGGGACTGAGTGACACAGTGGGTGCTTGTAATTTAAGACTCTTCAGAGACAAATGCCAGCTATGTGGTATGAGGACATAAAATTCAGTATTTAAGTGTGTAATTCCCTTGAGCCTTCGTAGGAGATCATTGAAAAACACAAACCAATCTTCATTTTATCCTGACTTATGCTGTGCACTTGGATGGATTTGTCAACATGGTATATTGAGGGCAGATAAAAATGTTTTATGACCTAGATGGTCTGTGCAGTTGTAGTTATTGCCCAGGCTAGTGCTGAGCACAAAGAACATTATCTGGTGCTATGCTGTGCAAATCTGTTAGATCTGGGTTGGCTCATGCCTTGAGCAGAGGTTTTTCACAGCCTGGTATACCAGGTTAGCTTATCCATGCGCTCATGACATGGATGCAGGCATAGAAGTAACGCTCCACTGGAAGAGTGGAGGTGGTGAGAAGTGCCTGGGGTGGGAGGGGACAGCAGAGGTGTCAGAAGATCAAACTATGGTGCATAACTTCTTGGCACTGAAATGTTCCTTCTGAGCTCTGACTCCCTCTTTTGCTCCACTGCAAAATCCAAAGGAGGCAAGCATATAACTCTACCTCCTTTGCATGCAGTGATGCACCTTATTCCCTCTTTTGTCACTTGCCTTGGAGGTAAGCCTGCCTGTGCTGCCCGAGCATTGTGTAACAGATATACTGTCCAAGAATTGGGTGGGTTTTTTATACAAAGTGGCATTGTGACTGTTTAAAGTTCATCTCTCATCTTATGCAACCTTTAAGGAAGTGAATATTGAGAGGCTGTCAGTATATGCTTGCAGCATGCTGAGCTCCTTCCAGGTTAATGAAAGAGAAATGAGAGCTTTCACTTGCACAGAAACAGTTAAATCCCTGTGTCCTTTTCCAGCCTCAGAAGGAGGCAGTTATTCTCTGAAATGCCTTCTGCATTGTTAAAATACTTGACTTCAGTACAGAAGTAAAACAGAAGAAGAGGATATTACTTCAAAGTGTTGTTTTGATGTTTGTACTTACACAGGGTTGATACAGAAAGCCATGGAGCAAACTCTGAAGCACAGTTTCAATGAACAGATTGCCTAGGACTTGGAGAAAGCTTTAGTAATTGGTTAATCTCAACAATGTAGCATCTGCTCCATCAGAAGCAACATCATTACTTTATATATATTTAATTTTTTTTATGGCATAAAAAGCAGTGCTCCTTTGGAAGGACTTTTTACATCCTCCAAGCAAAGAGCTCTTCCTTTGCTTGATGCAGAGAAACTTATCACAAGCTTCACAGTGCTCAAAGAAGCAATTACTTGCTGCTGTTCATTAAAAGAACTGTAACTGCTCCTGTTCTTAACTTAGTTGCCTTTAACAGCTATTCCACTGTCATGAGCACTGTATAAAAAGATTATATGAAAGAGAAATAACTTAGACTTTCAAAGTGGGAGTTTTTAAAGGACTTTAATTTGTCTGAAAATGTTGTTTACAAGCAGCATCTTAAGTTTCTGGATCTGAAAACTTAGAAGGAGAAATGCTAATCTCTCCCTTTTGTTTTGATATTCTTTTTTGTAGATAGGTCATGGTGGTGTTGCTCATCACTTGCCCAGTGCTCTTATATTTATAGGTCTGAATCCCTCTCGCTCCCCCAAACAGAAGTTAGATGCAAACTTCTTGGTAATGCTTTACTGAAGTCCTTAACCTCAAACTCCTGCTGCATTCCCTCTCTGCTCTCCCAGCATTTTGGTATCTGACTTCTCTTTAAACATGCCCTTATTTATTGGTTTGGATTTCTTTAAGTTCATGTAATTCTGTTTGCAGTTTTTGTCTCCAGGGGCTTGTACACATGCCTCATGCTTGTTGCAAGAAACTTTATTTCCATTTGATTATTTGAGGGGAAAAACCAAGAGAATTAAAAATCATAATAGAAGTTTCTGTAGATGCAGACTTACCTTGAAGTTAGGACAGTGAGGGACTTCTTAACCTCTTGGTACTTGAACAAGAACTTTCTTGTACACAAAATCAAAATTCTGGCTCGGACAATGCCAGATACAATGCTTTTCAAAATAACAAAACTCATTTAACTTTAGAGGTATCAAATCATTAACATCCTGCTTGAATAGGTACATTCTGGGTATTTTCTATACATAAGGTAGCCTTCTTTATGTTGGAGCTTCCAAAAGAGGTCTGTCTTAACTTTCTAGTAGTAGTACTTCTGAAAACTCCTTTGTTTGAATCTTCAGGCTCTGAAATTATGAAAGTTCTCTCAGAGAGGTTTTTAAAAAGTGCAACCAAATCCTCTGCTTTTGTTCTTAATTAGCAGGTATCTGATGATGTGTAATTGCATTTTAGATGAAATCTGTTTCTCAATAGGTATGTTTCAGCCAGAGGCAGTATCATAGTAAGTGACAGTAAGCTCCTGAAAATATCCCCTGCCTGAAGAACTGGATAGCTTCAAGCTGCCTTTTAGTGTCTCAGTCTGCAGATCGTTTTAGCTAATTATAGGATCTGTTTAGTGTAAAATGTTTATCTTACTACAACATATGAACTACTGTTATGTAGGAGTTGACAGTATAATCTGGTGTACTAGAAAACATTTGTGTATTCTGTTGTTTAGGTGCTTTGAAGATGGACTTATGAATACTTATCCCATGTACTCCTGATCTTGCCTGATATGTTTTTCTCTGAAAATATAGGATAATGTACAGGCAGTCAATACATGGAGTGCTGTCCTCACACAGATGCCTCCATCAGCTCTGGCTTTGAGGTGTTCCCAGAACAATGGTCTGGATGCAATCCAGTACAAGTCTGCCTTCACAGACTTTGGAAGGGTGAAAGAAATGGCTTTTTATTTGTATTGTAATACCCTTATCTCACTTCAAGTTAACAGGTTTGAGTCAACTGAGCTGTAATAAGTGAGTAAACTTGCTCTTGCTCTCTACACGTAGATTACGCCTGTGCACTCCAGAAGGACATTCTGCTGCAAGGACGCTTGTATCTCTCTGAAAACTGGCTCTGTTTCCACAGCAACATTTTCCGATGGGAGACCACAGTAAGATCTCTTAGCTTACTTGAATCCGAATTCTTCTTTGCCCTGTACTATCAGGACATGAGAGTTCCTCAAAAAAATCTTATCCTGTCAATCTTGTGCTAGTAACTTTGTGCTGAAAAGAGCCTGCATCCCAAAGAGGAAATGCAGATCCATTGCTCTGTAAAATGCGAATAGCATTGGAGACATCTGAATGCTGAAGTAAGCCTGCTCACTCAGTCATTCAGCATAGGAAGGAGTTCATGAGTGATGCTAAAGCTTTCACATTTCTGGATGATGATTTGCCTCTCCTTGCCAAGGAGAGTTGCTCTATAGAGGGATGTAACTCCTGTAAGACCAGGAGCGTGATACAGTAAATGGTGTTGCCCTGTTCAAGAACTCTCCAGCGTTGAACCTTACTTGGTTTAGTCTCGCATAGACTAAGAATAGCTGAAGAGAATCTATACATTACCTCTGCAGGTTCTCATATTGTGGTCTGTAGCTTTTGAATAGTATGAGCATAAGTAGATATTTGACGTTTGCCCTCTTTCTGTTGACTTAGGTTAATGAGTTAAAATTTTTCATTCAAGCAGCTGTTGCATCTGCTGTAGAAATAGCTTGAGGCAGTGAATGAGAAAGTAACCTAGTTACTAGGTGATAGATGTGTCAAAATGTTCTGCAGCTGCAAGACTGCTCATACCTTACGTTGATCTCTTAAATTCTACTATGTGTTCTCTGAAGTACGCAGACAACAAATAGCTTGTGACAAATAGCTTAAGACAATGAGGGGGTGTATAAATGCTTAACTGAAAACGAAGCTTAACTTAAATCAGATTGATTTGATGATTGAATGTTTCTTATTATAGACTTGAAATTAAAAAAAAAAAAACCCACAAAACAAAACTGTTTGAAACCACACCCTTGAGTATATAAACTATTCAAAGACTGATTTTTTTTTCAGCCAAAACAGCATACATCCTGGTAACCTGTTCCTGCCTGCCTAGCAAAGTGGTAGATGCACAGCTACAATGGTAGAAACAAGTTTTGGGATCTCCTTAGCAGGCTGTGTTGATGCAGAGAGGAAGTGGGAGGACCTTCTGCACACACAGGAAAAAGCAAGATCCAGCTGTATGTTCTTCCTTTCTCTAAGCTGAATGGCACAACAGCCTATCTTCAAGGGAAAGGGGTAGGCTGAATGGAAATGGCTTGTTGCAGCCAGTCAGACCATGCTGTTCTGAACAGAAATATTTAAAGTACTAATACACAAGGCAAACACATCCAAGCAGGAAGATTTCCTTGCAGTGTCTGGACTGCAAAAAAAACCCTGTGAAAACGAACTAGATTGCAAACTTCTGTGAGATGACAGAGACAAGATAGTCTGTTATCTGACCTATGTCCCACTTCATGTATAGCGTACCGATTGGGATTGACTTTCAGGTATGTGGCTTGTATGCAATTAGGATTGGGCCCTTAATCCTTGAGTGTTGCTGGAGGAGTGGAAGGAAAGAACAAACTATTTGTTTCCCTAGTCCTAGTATGAAAAAATAGGAGATTACTCTAAAGTCATCTTAACTCACTTCTACTTTGGAATGCTTGCTGTTATGGTTAGCAAGTGGAGACAGTAATTGCCTTTGATCTCAACTGAATTGCACCCCAGGGTTTGGGGTTAGTTTGAGTTCCTCTTGCATGTTCTGTGACTTTGTAAATTTTTAGTCTTAACAGTTATTTTTTATTATGTCTTATTAAATCTGTTTTTTGTTAGATTTCTATTGCCTTGAAGGATATCACTTTCATGACAAAGGAGAAGACTGCTCGGCTCATTCCAAATGCCATACAAATAGCAACAAAAGGAGAAAAGGTGAAAACATGTATTTAAATGTTTTTAAAATTCTAATGTCCAGGGCAGAGGACTTGTTGCAGTTTTAAATTTGCATAAATAACTTCCCTGTCAAATCTTTAAATGTGATTGGGATTGGAAGACATACTTGGTGGTTTGGTCCCTGTGCATATTGGCTTGATAATTCAACTTTAGTTTGATTGCGGAATCCCCTAGTAGTGTTGACGCAGTAACCAGAGAGTAATGGAGTTTTTGTCCCATTGATTCTCAAAGGAAGGCCATTTGAAAATTAGAAGTTCAGGGCATGAATTCAGAATGTGCATCCTTGAGAGTGCAAAAATATCAAACTCACTGGATTGAGAAGTGCCCCTGGAAGAAAATTGCTGAAAAACAAAAGGACTGTGATATCAGGGGTTTTGAGTCATGGAGAAATCTACCCATAGAACATGCAATTTTATGTGCTGGGAAATGGATTTTTTGGATGTGTATTTGAAAAAAACTGAAAAGTATAATGCAGAATGTTCTTAGGTGCAACACACTTCATGATACTTCTTCTGTAAATGCCTTGAATATAATAATTCTTGGCTGGATACGGTAAATAGCTTTCCAGGGTGAATCCGGAGCTGTTATTTGTGAAGGAACTGCAATCTCTCATATTTGGCTGTTCCCTCTCAATTAGTTAAATATTAACTTTCATCATCAAGTAAGATAAACCTCTTTCTCTGCTAAACAAACTTTCAAATGGGAAAGATTTTAATACTGCAAATGATGCATCTAATTTGATCTCCTGTTTTAATTTAGTTTCACATCTTCTCATGTGAAAAGATTAGTAAAAGCAATATGCATCAGAAGGATGGAAAGGGCTGTGGCCTGTTAGAAATAGGTACATGCATCTCTGACTTGTTCCACCTCCTATTTGGAAGTAGGAGAAAGATTTAACTATGTAGTTGGTTGAGGGGGAGTTCTTCCTTTATGCCAGAAGTACAAAAGATTGCAATTAGATGCCTAGACGAGCAAGTGTCTTTATATACTTTATGGATATTGGGGAACTAACTCATACTTATTAAAAGTGATAAAAAGTGTGGAGTGTGAGGAATATGAGCCTGGATTTGAATGTGAGAAGAGCATGCCATTGCTGAAAACCTTAGGATATTCAAGATACAAGGAAGCATTCTGGGTTTCTTGAAAATACCTACAAGTCAGCTTTTATGTACCTTGTTTCTTCCTGCAGTTTTTCTTCACGTCATTCAGTGCAAGAGACAGAAGCTACCTCAGTATATTCCGCTTATGGCAGAATGTGTTGCTGGATAAGGTAAGCTTGTAAGTGCCGGTACCTGTGGTTAAGTAACAAAATCTTTTTCTAATGTAAGCAGATGTGTCTTTGGAGGATAAGAGACTTTCCTGAAGTTAGCTTTTTCTTTCTGACACAGAATTCTAATCTGATGTTCTCCTTCGCCTCCTTGTACTTTAGATCCCAGATACACTTCTCATCCTTTCCTTCTCATACTGCTATCTACAACTTTGTTGATGATGGAGCGTTTTGTCTTTGAAGATAAGTTGCATGCTTCTCTTCGCTGCCAACTCAAGCAGATGTTAGTAAATTGGCATGCATTTGCTTCACATTTTCTATGGCTAATTTGTGAACAAAAAGGTTAAGAGACTTTTTCAGTGAAAGCTTTTTTTATTTTTAACAAAAAAGCCAAAAGTCACCTTCTCAGAAGTTAGCTGAACCTCTGCCAACCAACTCATTACAACTCCCCTGACCTTGAATAAATGCATCAAAGGCAGGCTGTATGATATGGAAGTGTATTTGGCAACTGCTGCTAGTTAGCTTGATTTATATTGCAATTTGTGGATATTTAAGCTAATTTTCTTTCTAAAAATGTACTGATACCTTGCAGAACATCACTGTAAGTAATGCAATTTTTGTAAACCAATTCCTTCCTGTTTATGGCCCTCTTTTATATATTTCAACACAGTTGATATTGAACACTGAAATATCCATACGTAACTCTGTGCTACAGTGGTCCCCAAAGGCTTGAAGCTGCTGCACTACTTTTATATAGTGCCCACACAAGTTTTTATGTTAAATGAATTTTAGGGCAGACTAGAGGCACTTCTTGTCAAACAAAAGCTGAAAATAAATGAAAGTGCCGTTTAAGGCAAACTAATGTTTCCTGCAAATCTCTTATCCCTCATATCAAGTACTATTTAACTGCAACATCATAATCATCTTGTCTTGAATCCAGTAGTAGCACTGCAAAAACCACAATGTACTATGTAATCTTTTGACTGGAATGTGCAACTGGAACTAACCTTGTTTTCTTCTGTTAGGCAAAGTTTGTCAGGACTAGTAATTATCTTATTCAGTTGATTAGTTTGTGGTACTGGAGGGTGAATGTATGAGCATTCAGGTATACAAACCTATCCAAGTGGCTGGAACAGAAGTAACAAGCTTTGTGCTGTTCAGTATTAGATTTTCCCATGCGTTTCTACTCTTTGACTCTGCAATGAGTGTCACATTAGGAACAGTTTTTCCCTTCAGAGCAGTAGCTAAAGAACAGATATGAAAGTAGAAGGCATGGACTGCATGTAAGATGAGATTAATTAAGCCAGCAGGTTTTAGGGATCAGTGCATCTGAGTAGCTTGGGAACTCTCCTTATTTTTTCTAATCTTGCCATTAGCTTTCTTGCATCCCCACTGAAGGTAGAAAGATAAGTCTGTTGCATGAATTTTTGCTTGTGGTTCTTGGTTGTAAAATGGAGCCATTTCACATATACATTGCCATGAGGTGTATGTAGGGCTTCTTAATGTAGTGTGTTTGGAGCTACTTACTGAAACAGGATTTCTGTTAGGTTGAGCTCCTACTTCTGCAATGTAGTAATGAATTCCGATTCTCTGCTAGAATGTGCTTGAATCAGCCTACTGTCAGCCTGCTCTATGATTCCTTACTGTTCAACCAAACTAGATCAAGCTATTGAGGGGTTGAAAGTAGAAACTGAAGTTGCTAGAGCTGGATCCACTGACTGCTACAATGACAGCTGTCCACTGACCTGTTGCTAAAAGAAAGCCCTTGGTGCATCCAAGCAGGTTTGCTGCTTTCTCCCCACCACTCTATGGCAGAGACAGCATACATTTGAAAGCTCTCCTCTGTCTGAGGCTCTAGTATGGTATGCAATGCACTAAGTATGTGAAGCCTAGTGTTTCTGGGCTCCAGTGGTCAGAGGGATTCCATCAGAATTTGTAAGGTTTGTAACAAAAACAAATCTTACTCTGGATCTAATTCCAAAAGGCGATGGTTTTAATGTTTCCTCTGCAGATAGCTAAATATTTTTAAAGCCTATGAATAACTTAGCTATTGTCTGGAGTGCATCTGCTAGACCTGGAGATGACATACAACTGTTAAATTATGAAATAAAGTCATTCTGGTGTCAGAAGTGTAACTCTGAACGCAAGCTGTCACAATGCTCGTTTGCGCCACCTGATGGTGAATAATCCCCAATTTGCAGGGTTTGGATCCAGGGGATTGGAATTACATTTGCTTCGAATCATGTTTGTGCAGAGGTAACTTTCAGTCATTGGCTCTGGCCTCTTCAGTGCTTCCTGGGCATAGACTTCATGTTACAAGGTCTTACCTGATATACCTTAAACTTTCACCCCCTGCAGAACTTACTGGTAGGGTCAGCATGCCCTTTCCCAGATCTCCATCTTGTGGCCATTCTGCCCTTGTACTTCTTAAGTATCACATGTCCTACATAGCTGAACAAGTAGTCTTCTGTACGGTCAGCCTTTCTATTAGAAATGACTTGCATTGTGTAAGAAAAACAGTAAATGATTGCATGCTATTCCATGCCTAAGCTTGCTTCAGCCTTCAAGATGCTCTCCCCCAATGTTGTGTCAGTGTTCTGAATAGGACTCCCGGTCCCATTAGCTGAGTTGTAATTCTCTAGCTCATAGCTTCTCCTTCAGATCTTGCTTAGAGTACAATAAAGTGCATTTGACACTTTGGCTCCTCTAGGAATCAGTGGGTAGCTTCCTCTTAAAGATGGTCCTTTTTTAGGCTGATTTTTAAAATATCCATGTAAAGGCTTTTTCCTTTCAAGAAAATTCCACTTTTTTTTTCCTATTTCTATTGCAAAATGTACTCGGAGTGAGCCTCTTAGGCTTTTACCTTGCCATTGTTTTTTAAATGCTCCTGGTCAAGGGGGAAGCATCATGGAAAATCGGGAATCATTAATGTAGGTCTGGAAGAGACATGACACCGGTCTTGATAAAACAGATAGCTGCTTCCACATCCACTGAGGCTTTCAATAATGCATCGGTTTGTGAAATCAGCCAACATTTCTGTTTTGCAACAGGCTTTCCAGATTGGTAAAATAACTTTACTAATGGCTGCTATTGACAGTAAGAGCAATACCATTTATACTTTTGCTTTCTCTTCCTAAAGCTTATGGGTGTCAAATATCCCTCCAGTTTAAGGAGGAAGGAACAAATTAAAATCTAATTAGGCAAGTCATTCAAATCCCAAACAAACACAGTGCTCCTTACTTCTAATGGAACAAGATCTTAACTTAATCGATCTCAATTCCCATGAGTCCTCTTCCTTAGAGTTGGATTTATTTTCCTATTGTTGTTCTTATGCTTTGCTGGGTAGAGATTTGCACCTGTCTCCCGAGACATTGTAGCAGGTAAGCCTAGAGGTGTGAGACTTTCTGGTGAGCTGTGCTTCTTGTGGCAAATATCTACCAGGACAGCAGTTCTACCTTTCCCCAACGGCTTCTCAGGGAAGGTTGTGAGAGAGATGCTTATTTGCACTTTTGTGTGCAATGAGGGTTGTTTTGGAGATCAAAGAGGGGTTGGGTTGATTCTGACAATCATGTTTGGGCAGTTAGAGGGGGAGTTTATGGTTTTCCCTCGCAAACAAGCGATGAGACAGAATTCCACATAGCAGTTGCCTGCTAGGAGTGTGGTGTGTGGTGGTGTGTTGGCCTCTGGAATAAACCTGTATGGAGTGTCTTGTTCTTACTTCTGCATCTGTCCATAGGGGGCAAAAATTGGCAGCTACACTTATGTCAGTGGTATTCTGGAGTATTGCTTGTGCCATGCCACCATTTTGTCTAGGATGAAACAAAGTGTTGATGTTTTATGCTCCCAGTTAAAAAGACAAAAGCATGTCCCAGCTGCTTCTTATAGCCTTTGTTTCTTTTTACAAAGAGAACTGAGAATAAAATCCAGCATAGACTATCACCTTGAGTGGGCACAGTAATTCATGTTTGGATTCAGCCTTTCAAGCTTCAGAGCTTCCCAAACCATCTTTTCAGAAGCAGAAGTCTGACCCAGAAAATTTGTGCCCTCCTTTTGCCTACAGAACTAATACTTTCTGGTACAATAAAGCAAGTCTGGTTTGATCTTGGGCTGTGACCATTAACAACTTATATCTAGCCGAGCTAAGAATAATTGAGCAGAATGCAAGAATCCTGTTTTAGAAGCAGAAGTTGGGAACGTTGCCTTCCAAAACCACAGGAAACAGCTTTATAGATTCCTAAAATGCATAGCTGGAAGTTTCTCTGCTTTCCTCAAACCATTGAGCTCTCGGTACAAGGGCAGTCTGATTTGCCCACAGCCTGGTGCGGAACGTGCTAGTGAATTTCATTAGCAACATTAGCCATTTCCCAGTTATTTTCTTATGCCTGGAAATAAAGGCACTGGCAATATTGGGCAAGAGAAGTGAAAGTGGCATTGCTTCTGTCCTTTAATTTCTGGTTGAAAGGTGTGCTATGTAAAGATACACTTTGGCAATATTATGAAACTATATAATGCGTAGTCTTGTTTTTAGCCATTGAATGAAAACAGCTGGAGGTGGTTGGCTGTGGTTATGAGTTTACTGCTCTAAAAGACAGCGTGCCTGGGGAAAGCAAGGCAGCTGTATGTTGATGCGTGTGTTTTAGCACTATGTTGCTTTGTTGAACGAACTCCCATGGCAGAGGGAGGCTGGTGTTAGCTGTTGTGACCCTTGCTTTATATGTGTGTGTTTTTGTGTTTTAATGTTTACTTTGCCCTCGTTAGGATTAAATACCTTGAAACTGATCTCTACCACCAAGAGGCTGTTGCCAGCCACTTTCTGAAAAGCCTGAAACCTTGTGTTGGAAAACACCCGAGGGGACTCCCCCACCCGCCCCCTCAGAGCGGCTGAGATTTAGCTGTGTCCAGAACCGGGTGGGCTTTGCCCTGACCCTCGCACGCTTTCCCACTGCCAATGCAGTGCGGGGGTCCCGCGGCGAGGGGGCAGAGGGACTCCCGTGGGTGTCCCG